ACAATGTCTTAATACTATTTTATACAATCTCGCAGCCATTAGCCTAGCATCATCCTCGATACGAATTACGTTATCGGCGATGCTGCTAGTTTCCAGGTCTACCACGTGGAGGTTGCTGCGAATGAGACCCTGGGAGGTGGGTGGAAATTCAATTCCATCGATCTCCTTTTCTACATCTAAGTCTTATCTTTAACGCACTTATCTTTAACGCACTTATTTTTAACGCACTTATTTTTAACGCACTTAGTATTAATCCCACGACGGCTGTTTTCTTTCTTGAGCCTGAAATGAAGTATCCCACGGCGGATGATCGACGTCTTCTTTCGCACGCTTATATCGAACTTAGCTTAGCCTTAACGCACTTACTACTAACGCACTTAATAATAATCCCACGGCTTTCGTGTCTCCTTACGAGTTACAAACCGTTTTACAATTTCAAATTACAATTTAATAGAACACTGAATTCTTACAGAAAATGTACAGAGCTTGATTACATATGATTCACAGTGAACTCGTGTTGTTTTCGGGCGGATGTTATATTTTATTATAAATAATTACTGGATACATAAAAGGCATAATGTGGTTGATTAAAAATCAATTTAATACGCATGATAGTCCATGCTCTGGCGTAGGGTCATGCAGTCAACCTCGTCGATCTTTAGAGTATTCGTTTTAATGTTAATATCTTCCTCAATTTGAACCTGCGTCTTCAGCAAATAACGTAATGACGCCTGAGCCTGAAATTTTTCATTACAAGAGATTATTAACTGTTACTCTAAGTAGTAGATACATGTATATATAGTAGGTTTATAGTAGGTATAAACAATAATAATTATTGTCAATACGCTAACCTCGAACATAGTTGCTTGCAATTTCGACACGACCTCGCGCAGATCGTAAACTTCTTTCACGAGTTGAGTCTCCACTAAATCCCGTGTGAGTTCTAAACCTGGTCGTTGACATCTGTTACCGAGCCTCGTATGTGCTAATGCTAAGTAACGTTCTTTCTCCGCGATTGCTTTCTCGATGCGCGTCACGTTCTGCGTCATTTCATTTGCTTGTCTCATTACCTGCACGCGAAACAAGAGAGATCTAATCCTGTCGTAATTTCAATAACTGTACTATACACAAGATGACAACCTCCGAGTGTTGTAACTCCAATTTCGTCTTCGCATCCCTGATATCTTCTATGCGTTGCCTGAAGGCGTGGTCGGTGGCATCCTTCTGCTGATTTAAATCATCGACCGCCTGTTTTATTACCGTGTCGATGTAACACCGCATCGGCCTGGCACTGTTGATTTCCTTCGAGGCGGCAACAATGTTCTCGTTCGTCTGCATCTCCCACTCGTTCAGTTCTATCGTTCTACGGCATGAAAACGGACATGAAAGATCACCGAACACGATAAAAACGATACGGAATTAGGAAGAAATAGGTTCCTACGATGGATCCAGCCGCGAGGTACCATGATAAATGCTTAAATTCAAGCTGGTTTCTTTCAGAGTCAGATTATGTCTGTCGATGCGCAAGTTGTTCTCCTTGTCTTCAAGATCGTGGTCCATATAGTAGAGGGTCGCTTTAAGCCGGCGTATCTGCTCCTGAGTTTGCTCCAAGGTTCGCACCAGTAAATTCTCGACGCCTTTGATCACCTCGCACTCCTTCAACAGTTGTCTTTCAACGTCGTCGCAGACTAGGTCGATTCCCAATCTATGCTCTCTACAATTAAATTACGTGGTTAATATACACCATCCTTTCAGGAGAGGATGTATACAGGAAACATTAGATAATTGCAACGTCCTCATCGTCGTTATTTTCAACGTCTCTTTCTTTTTATTCTCAGTCCCTTCTGTGTTGCAATTATCCAGTGTTCATTGTACGCGTGCATTCCATTATTTACAAGATTTATTTTTCTAATGTATTCAATAATGCATTGAACCTAAACATGAGACACTTCTCGCAAATAACGAGAGCGTTCCTTCTCACGGAGGCTATCGCGTTCATGATGCGTTCCTTGTATATTGTCAGAGCGTCGGTTTCGAGAAGAACCTCTTTCCTTATTCGCAGGAGTTCTCCTTTGCGGAACTCGATGTCCTCGAGCTTTTCCTTCAGCCTGTATTCTGTCTCCTCCTTATTACCCTTCGCCCTTTCCGTACTTGTCTCGCATATACGATGAGACTCGGCCAAAAGTCGATCGGCTAGTTCCTGCTGGGCTTCTGAACATCGGTACCTGTATATTTCAACAGTTGTTTATTAATCTTTATAATTTCAATTAAATAGTGTATATACTGTGCATACCTGTAGCGATTATTCAGATGCCACTCATCCAAAGTGAACTTCAAAGGTGGCGGGGGAACCATCACGTATTCCCGACTGTTTGGCATTTTAATTTATTGTCTATCTTGAGTTTCCTGAAACTTTGAATTTCCAATCGTTCATGAGTAGCAAATGGGCTTTTGAGCCACCGAGTTCACAGGTTTGATCCATATGTACTTCGAGATGATTCGGCTGGAAGGTGGTCTCTATGGAAACGTTAACAGCAATTAGCTTATCGGTTAATTGTACATATACTTATTTACAATCCTAACGTTAATAGTCAAACTCAGATGTGATACGTATTAAGAATTAGTAAGAACTTTTCAATGTCGCGGGAAAAAGAAATATCGACTTTTCAAAAAACATTCCTCGGAAGTGGAATCAAATAACGCGAGAGGAAGGAAGTAAACAGCGCTGTGAGCGATGAAATCATTACCAAAGCAATTTCTAGGAATACCACCGACTGGGTCGGTAAAGCAGCTTGACTGGGCTGCGATCCATACGGTGTTTGATCTGTGCATCGTCTCGTCGATGACTGTACTGACCTTTTGTATCCAACTTCAAAGGAGTCGATGGCAACAGATTTGTTAAATGAACATTAACGAAAAAAAATTACGCCTAATTCAGAACATGCTAGATTTTCCTTAGTAAGAAGTCCTACAAATTGATCTGGATCTATAATGAAACTTTCAATTATAGCAATCGAAGCGTCATCTGGTAGAAAGTATTCAAATGATGGTTTAAATGTTTCACAGTGTTTTTTTAACCGTACTTACAATACATAGTGCACAGAATGAAAAATATGTATTAAACATTTCATTAATACCGATTACTCGAATTATTTATTTTCGTTAGTGAATATATCGAAGCATTAATTAATCGTTAAGAGCAGAGTCCTGATAATCATTATTAATCTGTACCTTTCCGGTTGTAGTAATATTTTTCCAAACTGTTGGACACAACAATGATATTGTCGTACAAGTACCAAACTAAGGCAGCTAATTTATAGGTACATAGAAAGTGAACTGTATAGGAATTAAAGTGATTGATAGTGGGAAAGAAATGTTTGTTTCACTTAACAGCTTTCAGGAGAATCAACTGTTTTTCGTGGCCGTCTGACGGCGACTAATCGAAGTGTTACAACACGGATTGCGTTTGTAACAACGTGGTCGCATTTCACCTCTACGCTGATTCTAGGTCTATGGTGAACGATAATGTTTTCGCCTCATTTTTTGATTTGCCGCGTATGCAACGCCGTGACACAATGGCGGCTTCCGTTATGGTCACGTACTTTTTGTCGATCGTCTTCAACAAAATATAAAGATCTGTCGAAAGTGCGCCCTTTTCGACAGGTTTTCGGCATCTAAAGATGACATAGCGATATAGAGACTCTGGGGTATTCGTGTAGAGGATCGCTGGGGGTACTGGTACACTTTACAAGGTACGGATTTGATATGATCAATAACAAAAATTTCAGAGACTCCGAATCATAAATCAGGATACATGGGATACCTGACGGTACTTTATTGCTTTGATTGATTCCAGGAAGGACCAAGTTCGTTGCAAAATGTCAAAACGACCTGCAGATAGCGGGGATTCGGCTTCCCAGCCGCCTATTAAAAAAGTTCAATTCGAACCTATTCTAATCGGGCCTATATCGACCCTCGAAGAAATGGACATGAAAGTTCTACAATTTCAAAATAAAAAGTTGGCCCAGGTAAAAATCTCACGTTTCTATACTATTAATTAAAGCTGTTGTATTAAACGAAATTAAACTACAGTCTTTTATTTCTCTACAGCATTTCATTTGCATTGATTACAACTTTTGTTTATTTTGTTTATAACTCTGAGTAACTTGAAGAGGTTTATAATTATTGGTTCTTAATGACTTAGGATTATCAGGAGTAATATTATTGCTAGAAAGCTATTGTAAATGATATGAGAAAATGAAGAAATCTTACATAAATGTTACCTTTTAGAATTCCAATTAAGGTCGGCCTTTTACTCCAAATCATTACATTATTTTCTTTTAATCCTTGTAGCGGTTAGAACAGCGTCACAGAGTGGAAGCAGAGTTGAGGCAAAGAATCGAACAACTAGAAAAGAGACAAATGCAAGATGATGCAGTACTAAATGTTGTCAATCGATATTGGAATCAATTAAATGAAGATATACGTGTATTACTTCAGAGGTTTGATGCAGAAACTGCTGATGAATCAGAAAATAAAAGTAAAAAATCATATAAATTCAATTTATTTATAGTATTATGTTTGTATGCACATGTATCTCAAAATATTGATACTTGTAATGATAGATGAAAGTGAAGCTACAACATCATTTCTTATGCAACTCTCTTCTTGGGATAAGGAGGAGTTAGATGACAAATTAGCAAATCGTGTCCAAGTTTCAAAACGTGCAGTTTCTAAAGTTGTACAGGCATTTGATCGTCTTTCTCAGAGGAATGAAAAAATTACTCTTGCACTCAAAGGCGAATTCGATGGAGGTATTTTAAACCTTCAAATTATTTAAAAGCATGTTAAAGAATACAATTAATATAATTTTGATTATACTATAATTTTTCAGAGGAGGCACCTAATATAGATGAAGTGGTACGTAGAGCAAATTCTGAAATACAAATGGAAAATAGGAATTTGCAGGCAATAAATATTCAGCTTCACGAGAAATATCACACTATCTCATTGAAGGTAATTTCAGTCATTTGCATTAATAAATTTTTCATTGTAAATGTGTTAATAAATACGCGTTATTTTTTAGATGTCTGAACTACAAGATACTATAACAGGAAAAGACACACTTGCTGCAGAACTTCGTAATCAAGTGGATGATCTCCAGTATGAATTGAATAAAGTGAGGGCACGTAATGACAAACTAGAGCACCACCTTGGAGAAGCAATTGAGAAGCTAAAAGCATTTCAACAGATCCATGGAACTGATGAAAAGGGTAGTAATAAACCAAATACCTTAGTGGCATCCAGTGTCTCACAAACAAAGGTATACAACGTTTGATTATTTTTAATATATTCAATGCAATGAACAATATATATTTCATTTCACCCTCTATTGTACAGCTTGAAGACTTGCAACGAGAACTAGAAGAAACAAGGGAATTAGCAAATAATAGGTTACAAGAATTGGATAAATTGCATCAGCAGCATCGTGATACATTGAAAGAAGTAGAAAAATTAAAGATGGATGTGAGTTCTTTGGGTTTTGTATATCTAATCTTTATGCACGGTGCAGAATGTAAATTATTGTCATGTGCAATAAATACTCATGTTATACTTGCTTTTAGTCGTTTCTTGTGTTTTACTTCTTTACATTTAAATAAAGGGAGTCTTAACATTGTTATCTAACGTTATATTCTCGGTTTTATTTTGAAATATATTTTATATTTCCAGATACGTCAACTTCCAGAATCGGTAATTGTCGAGACAACAGAGTACAAATGCCTACAGTCCCAATTTTCTGTATTATACAATGAATCGATGCAACTGAAAACACAATTAGACGATGCACGGCAACAGTTACAATCCAGCAAGAACGCTCACTTGCGCCATATCGAGATGATGGAGGCAAGTGTTGGATACTTTCTGTTCTCTTACCATTTTTATAATACATAAATGTATCGGTTTTGTCTAAATAGAGCGAGGAATTAATGGCACAGAAGAAACTGCGAGGAGAATGTATACAGTTGGAAGATGTTCTAGCTCAGTTGCGAAAAGAGTATGAAATGTTGAGAATCGAATTTGAACAAAATTTAGCAGCAAATGAACAGACTGGACCAATTAATAGGGAAATGAGACATTTGATTACTTCTCTCCAAAATCACAATCAACAATTGAAGGGCGAAGTTCATCGTTACAAACGGAAATACAAAGAAGCTTCTTCAGAAATACCAAGGGTATACTTTGACAAAGATAACATTAAGGAAGTCTCACGAATAAATTACCAAAAATTATTTACGCTTAATGTCTGTGTTTTTTTTTACAGCTAAAGAAAGAAATAGAGGAACTGACGGCTAAATTGGGCCAGCAAACATCTCAGGAAAGCAAAGAAGGCAGCAATTCGGATGGCAGTGGAAAGGAAGAAGATGCATCGAATTCTCTTTCAGGTTCTACGCAGGTACAAATGAATATATTACACAGATTAATGGGTTTCTAAATTTCAAAAGCAAAGATAATTAATTTTTGTCTACTAACACAGATCAAAGAAGAAAGTGGAGTTTCCATTAAAAGGGAATCTGGAGAGGAAGATGTTGAAACTATCGAAGTAGGAGAAGGTGAAGGAAACAAAGGTACTCCAGATTCTCTGACTTTAACCTCTCCAACTCTGAAGAAAGAGAAAGATATAAAACGTGAAAAGGATATCAAGAAAGAAAACATTAAAACCGAACATCGCGACCCTGCTCATCGCGCTAAAGACACGAAAGTAGCGGAATCAGAACTTGTCAGAGACCTAAAAGCACAACTCAAGTATGTTCATGTACAATGAATTCCGTTGTTACCGAGGTTGGTGATCGTACAATATTTTGTATGTACACACACGACGGACAATGATTTTGTTATCACATTTATAAGTTAATTTAGGTTCGATCGAATAACATTACAATTTCACACAGTCACCAAACCCTAGTAATAACTTAATCCATTATGATGCGCGTTTGTAAATTTGACCAGCGTTCTTTGCATTTGTATATCGTTTACATATCTTTACCATAATTACAGAAAGGCTGTGAACGAAATGAAAGAAATGAAGCTTTTGTTAGACATGTATAAAGGCGTTGGAAAAGAACAGAGAGACAAAGTACAACTAATGGCTGCTGAAAGAAAGACAAGAGCAGAATTGGAGGAATTACGTCAGCAAATAAAGAAAATACAAGTATGTAAAATAACATTTGTTCGTCAATTGAAAATGAATGTAACGAATAACGATTGCATTATCTTAGGAGAGTAAACGCGAAGAGCGTAAAAAATTGGCAGACGAAGATGCACAAATAAAAATAAAAAAACTAGAGGAACAGGCGTACACGCTTCAGCGTCAAGTGGCTTCTCAAAAGCAGGTTAGTCTATCTTTCGATAGTATGTAGAAAAGAGAGCATTAAAATATGAGTGGTATTTATTTATTGAGAGAGGAATACATAAATATCGAATATTTGAACCCAATTTTGATTGAAACTGTGAACTGTAAATTATGCTGAATAGAACTGCGTGTGGTTGCAGGAAGAGGAGGCTCTATTGAACGAAATGGAAGTAACTGGTCAAGCGTTTGAAGACATGCAAGAACAAAATTCAAGATTGATACAGCAGCTGCGCGAGAAAGATGATGCAAACTTCAAGTTGATGACGGAGAGGATCAAGAGTAATCAGCTACATAAATTAGCCAGAGAGGAGAAGGATGTTCTAAAGGAGCAAGTTTCTACGTTAACAACACAGGTGGAAGCGGCCAACGTAGTCGTTCGCAAATTGGAAGAAAAAGAACGTCTTCTACAGAATTCTCTAGCCACCGTCGAGAAAGAGTTAGCTTTAAGGCAACAGGCGATGGAAATGCATAAACGGAAAGCTATTGAAAGTGCACAATCTGCGGCTGATCTGAAGCTTCATCTCGGTAAGACATATCTTGGACCGTTGTACATTTCTTAAAATGAAAATGCACTAATGGATGACGTTTTCTTTTTGTTAGAAAAATATCATTCTCAGATGAAGGAAGCGCAACAGGTTGTAGCTGAGAAGACCAGTTCGTTGGAAGCGGAAGCTTATAAAACAAAGAGATTACAGGTAAGATCTATCAATAGAGATCAGATGTAAGTGAAATATGAGCTAGATTTTAAATGTTACATTTGATCGCAGGAGGAAATAGCTCAATTAAGGCGTAAAGTCGAAAGAATGAAGAAAATCGAACTGGCTGAAACTTTGGACGAAGTAATGGCGGAAGAGTTGCGAGAGTACAAGGAGACCCTTACTTGCCCGTCGTGTAAAGTAAAGCGCAAAGATGCAGTTTTGACGAAATGCTTCCACGTGTTTTGCTGGGATTGTTTGCGCACGCGATACGAAACACGTCAGCGTAAATGTCCGAAGTGCAATTGCGCTTTCGGAGCGAACGATTATCACCGTTTATACCTCTCCACATGAAGAAGAAGACTCTAAATTATTGGAATTTCGTGTGACGTTTTTTAATTGAACCGCGTGAATCTTCTAAAAGGTTACGCGTGTATGCATTTTTCTTATACTTCCTATTTATTGTCCCGATCATTGGTAAAACGGAGAAATGCGATCGTGAATGATGAAAAATGTAGAAATAAAGTTTGTAAAAAATTATGATTATCCTGTGGAATATCATGCGAGGAAAATGAGCTGCATTTTTAAAAGTGTTTTGTAGTAACCACGCCGAACATGTATATTCTGATCTGATGTAAAGGACGAAGTCGGGTATCGCGGTGAACAACGCGATTCCCGATGGTAGCGCCGATGGGACAGAATATAGAGAATGATTCGATTGTATAATAATTTTATTTAGTCTTAAAATTCGACTTAAATCAATAACTTAATCATGAAAGTTAGTGAAATTCGAAAGCTACGATAGTCGGAATTTTAAGAGCGATTCACTGTGTGTGTGGTAGATATATTGTAATATATTATAAATAGGAATTCAATGCTTCTACGTATGTAGTTCAACAAACCTATTGGTAAACTTTCACGAACAAATTCGAACATTTATTATTTCGTAATTATTAAATTACTTTAATGACGGTTCTCACCTAAATATCTCGATGAACTTTTAGTTTCA